GCACGCCGAAACGTAAGCCGAAATAAAGGATTTTATCAACCTCGTCCGTCACCGTCAATCAGAGAAAACCAACGTTGGCACAGATTTGAGTTCAGCGTTCGAAATCACTTACCCATCACACCTTGAATGGCCAATGCGACCAAGTATCCTTCCCTTGTAAGGCAAATCGATGACCAACCGCACATCAGGTGATAGAACTCCTACAGTTTTTCATTATTCCTAAACGAAGTTACTGGTCTGATTTAAAGGACTGCTTGCTTGAGGTTGCACTTGTTAAAGGTTTTTTCATACGGTAGTCCAGAACTTCGAAGCTGCACTATAGAAACAAGTACGGAGGCAAGTGATACACCTTTAGAGAACAGTTTTCTCACATTGTGATAACTCTTCTGGTCCCATGCCTTCACTTTGCCTCGTTTAATCGTTTTCTACACTTATCTACATTTAATTCCACCGCTCTATAGCGATAAAATTTGATAGCTGATAGTTGTAGTAGTAGAGTTGATTATATTCAAACGCACACTTCAAAGAATTGCGAGTCGTTTTTGTAGTTGTCGCCGACAAATTTCATACTGGTTTTCTCATACATCGGCTTCAATATATTCATCATGAAAGCCTAAAACCTTAACTCTGATCAAGGTTTCCCATGGTTTATATCAACCTAATGAGCTCACTTTAGCCGATGTCGACTCCGGCTCATTCCCGAAGAAGTCTAAGATGGCATAAAAACCAGATATTGTCTCTGTCCATGGCAAATATTCCTGGAAAGACCGAAATATACGTCGGTGAAGACTTTATTGATAACAGTCGAGNGAGATCGAGAGAAACCTTTTCATTCTTAGCGTACTCAAGCAGTTTAAATACTGTTTCGTACTCGAGTTCATCAATCAGAGCCGCTGCAAATGCATCGCTTATGATCGCATTTCTCGTCCTTGCACTGTATGCCTGAATAAAATTTCTATTGAGATTTTTTTGGCATTATAAAAGGACATAATTCCATAATAGAGGGAAAAGAAACCTGGAGGGTGGATGGACTGGGTACGTGAGAAAGCTGCTGTCTGTCGAAATTGTACCTTGTCGATCAAGGTTGAGCAATGAATACAGTTTGACAAGGCAATCACAATCGTTAGGAGTCGGGAATTAATCATTCCCCAGACTGTATGGCGTTAAAAGTGCGTCGGAGGAACTGGGATGAGAGGGCGTGGGGGAGGGGGAGGAAAGCGAAGGTGGTGGGGTTTCAGTGAGGACCATCCATTACTTTCCGCGGTATCGGCGAAATTCAGGGAAATTCAGCATCTGATTTGCCTTAACACCCAAAGCAACATCGAAATTTTTCACATTTTCAGCGGTTCCGCTGGGTTATCAGATCTCACCAGTGCGGCAAGGCAGACTTACCATTGCGAAATCGGTCTAACAGTCGAACTACCAGAGAAACTAGCCTGGACAGTGTTCAAGCTACAATTTGTCCCGGGTTCCATTGCAGCGATGTCCCTAAACGCTCTCCTGATCACTACGTACCTTATGATTTTTCTTGAGCTGTTTGATGATCTTTCGCCAACCGTTCGCATCATAGTTCTGTCGATAAAATCCATGGCGATCAGCATTCACCACAATGGAAGTTTCAGGATTGCTCACGTGCAAATAGAGCGGTTCTTCTGGAATGTGAGTTATACGTTACACCACAAGAAAGGCACTACATTGAAATTGAAGGCTCTCAGCACTGAGTAGCTTTATAGCTCCTTCAAAACGCTATGGAAGACCTTGTACCCGAATTCCCATCGTCGCAAACATGCACGCAGGTGTGATTTGCACGCGGCAAATGCCTTACTCTCAACCCTGGACTTTGATTACTCCTAAACTGCGCACAAAAACTCACGGCGAGGGTTGAGGAGGCGACACATTGTTCGCGAATAAGATCCCAC